TTGCAATTCAACAATTCAAATCTGCTCTTTGTGTTTAAAAGCGTTACACTCAGTTTCTAATTTTGTCTTGATCGTAATCTCCCCAAGATAGTTTATTCATTTTTTTGTTTATTTACTCTAATCCTATAAAGAATAAAAATGATTTGTCGAAACGATTTTTTTCACTGAATTGTCTATTATTAATTTTTATTTGATAATATTTTGAAACTATGCGAACTTGGGAGCAACTGTTTATGCAGAAGCATGCCCTTCACACTTATGATTTTTAAGGTGAGGTTTCAATTTGATTGTGTTGAGCAACTAACTGTTTCAAGAAGTCCAGTGGAAATAATTCGGCTTATTGGCGAGTTTACGTATTTGGGGAGTTTCTTACAGCCGTTGTGACTTAGTTACTAAGGTAATCTTGGCTAAGATAAAAGAGACTTTTTGATAATCACCAATCTATGGCATTAGTCAGATACCTGACTTATCAAACGGCAAGTACACTACAGATTAATCTATTCGCTTTTACTTTATAGGTATGAAAGATTTTTTTATAGCTTTAATAGCGCAAAATTAGCAATCCTAATATTAAGCAAGAGTTCTTGTTTAAGAAATTAGTTTAATGATTTTGTGAATCTGAACAAAACTGAGACGTTTACAGCATTTGATAAATCACACTGAACCATAGCAAAACTAATTGTACCATATGAAGCGAAGTAAGGTTAGGCTACACACAGCTGAGATTAATCATGCCAAGAAATTGCATCGATCCATGAAGTCACTCAGTAATCATAGGAAAAAATATAAGTTTCTTGAAGTAACCAGATAATAGCACTTTTTGCATAAGCAAACATTGGTAGGATCACCTTGAAATCAATCACTTTGATGTGGATTCCATCATTATAAGAAGGAAGAGAATAAGGTAAAAGGTAAAAAGAAACACAGTTAGGAAGACCATGTGGAGAAATTAGGTAAAAAAGAAAACGACAAAAATGTGAGAAGAAAACGCTATTTTTACGAATACTTAGTAAAGCAGTGAGCGGTATGTTGACAAGAGATATTCTCCAGGATTCTGGTAGGCATTTAGTCTTGTAGGTCTACGACACATGGCAAAAAGAAGCAAACCCATGACAGGACAACAAATAACTTTACGGACAACTGGATCGATTTGAGTTGTTATACGTTATAGTAAGACAGAAGGGAAATCAACAGAAGGAGCAGAATACTTCAGTAAACAGGGGTGGTATACGAAACGCAAAATAAACAAAGATAACTATACTGTTTTTAGAAATGATAAAGAGTAAACATATCCACACTATCATGTTCGATCACGATTAAGACAATTGAAAAAAAAACTTCAATTATTGATTGCCAACATATCGAGGGGCTCTTTCTCGGTACACACTGACCTACCCTTTAGAAAACAAACTATCCATATAGAACAAAACATGTTAAGTTGGTATTATTCATAAGATGACATCAGTCGGAAGAACATTGGAAACCTAGGAGCACAGGACAACTGTTTCGTTTCAGTGAGGGACCCTTCAGCAGTGTGCTACCATGACCTCGCACCGCCAGGAATCGAACCCAGGACCTTCAGGTTCCGTGGCCAGCACTTTGTCATTGAGCAACTCAGTCAGAATCCAATGCTCCATATTTTCAACTTCAGTCAGTTGACGATATAGAGAATGTATAGAGGTATCCTTAAAAATTTATTTATAACACATTACTGCATTCGACAATGCACAGACTTTTCGTTGATACATTAATGTATGACTTGACTTAATCCATTAGGCAAAAGTTCCGACGGAGAGAAAAACTAACGCAAAACTGTATCAATATAGTTTGCTACACTTCACAACAGAATAAAGAGTAAGTGAATAACACTGAAGTAGATACAAGTGCAGGAGAGAAGAGATGGAAAATAACTAAATGAAGGTCAACAGAATGTTAAGAATTTGGAGTATAGTAATATGATTGATTTTAAGACATCCCCGACTGACAGTTGCTATCTTGAGGTGGTGGTCGTGCTTATCTACTCCATCCTATATTAACTGAGACGTTTGTTACTTGACGAGTCATCATGTTCAAAATGTTTTTTGGATAGTAGTAAACATGTTATTATGCCGTAAGGTTATCAGCAAAGACAGTTAGTAGCCTATATAGAAAAGTTCCCAAAATTCAGTGGACTTCTGCAACTCCATCCAAACTGATTGGTGCGAGAAGACTCATTCCAGGTGGCACCGGTTGTGAAGACTAGAGAAAGCAGCGTAAATGCAAATTGACTAGGAGTCTCAGTAGTGATTTTGGGAAGTGGCGGGTGGTGAGAAGGTGACAGTATTAAGCGATAATCGGCAACTATTTAGGCTTATTAGGGAAACTGAGAAGACGACTGTCAGTGACACCACAGGGGAAAGGGATGAGTCACTGTTAACCTCTCAGTACAGGTGGGTAGAATGTCCGGCTGAACTCTTAAGTTAACCTAAAGCAACGCTTCGCTTGCTCAATATCCATCACCAACTTAAAACGGTTAGTAAATACCGATCGTCTCCTACCAAAGTTGAGAAGGTTGTTTCAAACCAGAAATCATGTAGAGTAGTAGAACCTAAAGCGATTTGAGCTTTAAAGGTTTTTAAGGATGGAAAAGGAAAATTACTGATCACAGGAAATGAGTTACCAGCGAATTTATAGAATTCAGAGGCAGTCCTGTTAGACTAGTTTAAGTTGCTGATCATCACAGTTTATAAGGAAGAAAATCATCCTTGTGACAACCAAAAGGAAATCAGTATGACTATAATGTGTTTAAGCTACCAGGATTCACAGTCATCCAACACCAAACTAAAGCTGAAGGATTAAAACAATCGACAAAACCAATGAAGTTCATAGTAAGCGTGTATAGATTTGTTAAATAGTTGACTAAATTAGTGATTTTTATTTTCTGCAAGTTTGACTAGTATTTTCGCAACAAATTGCTCCATGATGACATTTATTATTCCTCAATTTGTTTTCACCACTCCTATGCGTCGACCTTTTCCCATTGGCTGGTATCTCTTTGAATGGGTTATTTAGTAATTTCGTGAATTATTGCAAGGACTATAATCTAGTTTTGAAATATAGGGATGGAGACACCTAACTATTCAGACTAGTAAGCGTTTAGTTCACTAGCTGGAATTTAGAAAAGCTTGATGGAAGTTGTTTCAATAGTTACTATCTGAATATCGATGTTCTTGCGTTATCAGGTTACTTTTATCCGTTTCAGACTTGGATGAGGATGTATCAACCAGATCTATACCTTTAGACAGGTTTCGGAACATAGATATATTTACAAGTACCTGATACGCTACATTTGCTGACTTAAAAGTGCTATTCTTTTTTATCGACCAAAACGGTTGTGGCAGGTTTTGAATGTGAAGAAAGTACTGAGCAGATATACTATGCTTATCAAGACGGTACTCAAACTCACATCAACGTGTCAGCCTGTGGAGACTTACTGTTTGAGATAACGACAACCAGTAGGGCTTCCCAAGGAATTCCACTGCTACCATTCTTATTAACGTTGTCATAAATGCATTGATGGATAAAACCAATGTGACTCTAGTTTCTTTGGAGAGAACTCCTGGCTGATTTAAAGTATACATATATATAGTGTTAGGTGAAGATATCGAAGGAACGTAGACTTCTATATACCTTGAGAGAAAATCCGTGTGAATCTGCCATTCGTTTCCCATCTATTAAATGTAACATGATGCTTCAGGACTGGTTGGTATCAACAAAATAACAAATAAAACGGTGGAATGTGCTGACCATCTCAGTTACTTGGGGAGTTGCATCAATCCGAACGGGCTGGTTACTGACAAAATCTCTCCTCAGAAGAAAAATAACCGCTTAGCAGGTGCCAAATTGCATCATCTCTGTCCTGTACTACAACTGTAAGAAATTACTACTGGGAGCAGAAGACATGATGAGAAAAACGGTATCTGCTCACACGTGACTCTGGAGTATTACTCACTTGTGATGAAATTGCAATTTGAAAAATGTTGAGGTTAGTTGTAGAGTAATAGGCAAGGACAGTAACTCGGCTGATAGGGTTGTGATAATAACCGAAGTGGAATAGGATTAGTAGTAAGCTAAAGATGACTAGACCAAGACATGACACCAATCTATGAAGTCTCCGAAAGTCCATCTCAGCCAGCTTGACAGAGCTGATGAAATTTTTATGATGGATTTGGCACATAAGTCTAAATTTCTTGTGAACGTATCATTTTAAGCACTTGCATTAGTAATAAAAATGATACGTTTGGTAGAAACAGATGTAAACAAGCCAAGAAAGCTAAAAGCCCGTCAGATATTATTACACCACAAAATTACGAAAGTTGGAAGACAGACAGAACGAAGTTTCGCTTGCAGGAAACTATCAATGCAACAACCGGGTATAACATCATTGATAGAGATCACATATTCACACTGACATCGTCCCTTCTTTGCGATGTTTTGCAATACAAGTTTGAGTCAAACAGACCAACCAACAATACATAAAGTCTGAAATTTTACAAGGAATTATGCCTAGTATGTATCTAAAGTTGATGGTTTGAATCCCCAAGCCTGATGATGAAAAAGTAGCACACCAATAGTAAAGGTCAAAGAACACCAAACAATTGCGTTATCCTCATTCTGAGATATAATTCTTCCCTATTCACTACACTACGACTCTATCAATATACAAATAGTGAACAAAAGCAGATTGAGACATATTTAAAAGAATACTGAATCAAGAATATCTTAACTGTAGTCAATAAACAGAGAAGAAAAAAGTCTTTTAACAGAATCCAATACTTTTCTTGAAATAACAGTTCCACAGTAATATTAATAAGCTAGACTGATGTTTTCATCAATATATCTGCAGTGTATGCTAACGAGAAGCAGACAAGACACAGACAGATCAACATGACAACTTGTACTGAAGTACAGTAATTCAAACTGTAACATTTCACAACAAAAAAACAATATATTCAACTAACCTTCATATAACTAATGTTTAAATCTTTTCTTGACAATCCTCGTTGAATGTTCCGCCTTAAATAGACATCATAATCCCGTACAATACGACCAATCACATCAGTAGTAGAAATCCCTTCTGTACGTTGAGTAACAAGAAACCTGAACAACAAAATGAGATTTGTATGTAATGTATAGAAAATCAGTAAGTAAAGGAATTTTATTATATATAGTATCATTAGTAAAGTTATTTTAGCAGTAAGGACAGTTAAACTAAATAGGTCAAACTAAAATGATGATAATGACTGATTAACAAGATTTTTTGTAAACAATCAATACCAAATGGAACACTAAATAAAACTGTGCGTGTTTTAATGTTAAAATTACTTAAAATCTACATTTAATCTAAATTAATTAGGCCTTCGATGAAAGCCAATTGTCAGAGACTAAAATTATTAAATTTGTTAGTAGATACATACTGATAGTGAAGAGAACACTCTCCAATTAAGAATTCATATAAGCTTATCTCTGATATATCATCTCCGGTTACCTTTGAATATTTAAAACTGACTGTGACGGAATATTATTTACAGGACTGAATAGAGACAAAATACTTGTTATCAGTACTGAAGTTCATAAGGATTTTTGAAGGGAACTGGAATATCCATGTCTCAATGCTGCATCTTACTGCCTTCATAGATCGTAGATAGATGTCCAAACTAACATAGTTTCTGTAATATAAACCAAAGTCACAATCTTCAGTTAGTATTGAAGTTGAACAAGTCTATAATGCAATGTAACGCAGATGGTTTAAACGCTAAACTGTTTTTTCAATCTCTAGTATCCCTTCGTCTTTTTTTATCGCCTAATAAATTTCTAAAATTAACAGGTAACATGCACTGCTTCCTCTCTCTTCTCGTTTGTTTTTCATGGAAATTACCACATTGTCACCTGAATGAAATAAATCTACAAACCCTCTCCACTAGAATATTACTTCCTCATCTTCTGAATATCACAGGAAAGTCCTAAAGTCATGATTTCATACTAAACTTATTGACTGCCACATTTTAAAAAGTTATATGACGCGCCACACCTCGGATGACTGCTGACAAACATTCGAGTAAACTCATAATAAACACATTCTTCCTACGATTTATCTACTTCACAATTTTCAAAAGAACCTGGCTGAGATTACTGCATTACATAACATTCTCTGTTTTCCATTCATATAACTCTGTGTTCACATTTAAATCATACCCGTTGGATTGGTGTGATTTTTTTTACCTCATGTTGTACGGAATATATTATGATTGACAAGTTAAACACTTGAAATGGGTCAAAGAATGACTATAACCATCAATTGCTGAAGACAAAAGAAGTCAGCAAGGTTTTCCAACAACTACAAGATAATATGAAAATAAGACGAACTAAATTTAAACTTTAGTAGAGAAAATTATAATGGTTCAGAATGAAAATATCTACACCACTAAACTACACAATGACATGGGTTTATGCATTTCAATTTATAGGCAGACAATCGACCAAAAAAAGAAAGACTCAGTTAATATCACGAGAAATCTGTAGAACAAATTCTCAAATACCCAGATAAAGAAAGCGAAAAAACAGGTAACAGGAAAAAAGAACCAGGTACATCTACCTTCACATGATGGGCGTGTTTGTATACATTGTATATATTCATATTTTATCTTTATGCTATATTCCATTATTTGCTTTAAACCGTCTCCTTTTAGTTTTATGACAGCCGATAATACCATTTTTATTTGTTTGACTTCCATAAATAATCATTCTACCTTGATGTGATGATGTAACGTGGGACAACATGAACCGTAATGCAGTGATTTCAGATCCTATTTCGATAGTGACAGACTTGTCAGTGACTGGTAATTTGGCACAAAAATCCTTTGATTTAATTTACAACGGAGTCGAACAGCAGGAAACAAAAAGCAACTGTAAGAAAAGAGGACTGAAATGAATTTCAAGTGAGGGCACAAGTGAACAATAAATGAACAGGTATAGAAAACCATTCGTTGAAGATTCAAAGAATGATGAAGGGTAAATGCATCTGCACATGGAATCTACTCAACAACCTTGTGATTATTCATGAAGTAGGCAAAAATCCACACTTACTGTGTGAGGGCTAATGATACTACTACCTGGCTACCCAAACCTCGGTAGGTGGAGAGGGGTTCGAGCCTGTGGCCCATAGGTTGAAAACCATTTCCTAAAACAATGAGCCACAGCATCTACCTAACTGTAGCACGTTTTCAGCTACATAATCTGAACCGTGATAATTATTTTGAAGTGAATATTTTGACAGTTCATACAATCGACAATTCACTTGTTAATGTAAACATTTGAATTACAGTAGTCCAACTAACAACATATGACAAACTATTGATACGTTAAATAAAATATGAACAAGTTTTTATATCAACTATTATACCAAATACTTGGGATGTATGACCCTTATTTTTTCAGACGAACTCCTAAATCACAACCATCTAATTATGCGTCTATGAGACAAGTGCATTAACGATTTCTGAAAGCTTATCATTTTGCTGTTCTTAAAAGTTTGCACATTTACATAGTTAGTGCACCAGTTTGATAATCAGGCATCCAAAATAGATTTTGTTCAATACTAATACGATTGTAATGCAGTTAAAATGAAGCATATGCGGATGCATGTACTAAACTGTGACTCACAATAACTGTTAGAGTTAACAATACTTAGTTATTGAGACCATAGTAGATGGAAGGGGGTGGGTTCAAACCAGACCCACACTATTCGACAGTCAATAGAACACAGTTCCAATGTGTTTCATAATTATTCGATGAACACACTAGAATTCTTTACGCAACAACTTCTGATATGAGCTGGTAAATTAAATACCTCCTAGCAGCTATATACTCAATGGCTTTAGATGATTAGACAGACAGCACTAAGCATAACGGCGTTAGTCCATGTTGCTACACCCCAAATCAATGCGTCAGGATGAGAGAAGCAAGATAAAGAGTTGTGAAAATCATCATATCAGCAATGAAGAAATAAATAGAATACAAAAAAGACAAGATAGGAAGTAGAACAAAGATGTAGACATAGGCGTGCATGGATGGATCAGTATCTAGTTGGTGTAATTGTTTTGTGATGACTCAATCTTCTTAAAGCAGTGGTTAGTAGTGATACGATTTAAATTTTTTCCTTTGTAGGTTGCAGTTCCTGACTTTCAAATTAAACAAAATCTTTCTACATGATCACAGATAATGCCTATGAGAACTGGATAAGCAGGAATGTACATTCTCAACTAGTAATCAAGATTATAAAGCATTCGCAAGGCGATTCTGAAAACAACATCGTGCATCTTTGTACGTCCGTCAGCCTACTTACTTGTACATTCAATATTAAAAGGTTCGTCCCTTTTCAGTGAAACTCAAGATACACTTAATCAATACTGAAGTTAGTCAGTAAGTAGTTAATAACTGAAAAACAATGTTAATAAGCAAGCATTAGGCGGTTGGTGCAAACACACAAAAAGTTCCGAATTTCAATTTCGGGCTCGTTTACGCTTTTTCACAAAGCGCGTCTTCAGTATGAACAAAAAGGATGTCTCTCCAGTGATTTCCCGGCGGATGAACCGCTGAGATATTGCGTGAACAGACAAACGAATACGAGTAGAACCAAACGAATAAGAGCACTAGTTCAATCTGCTACGCTTCGCAGTAAAATGCATCGAGAAAGTGGTTCAGAAAGCAGCATCATTAAAATGTAAGAAAGTGTATGAGGCGACGGGGGGGGACATGAATGAAGGTCTACAAAAATGCTCAATTTCTAAGATAATAAGGAGTGAATATATCTGCAGCGTTGTGACCGATCTGAAGCCATATCACAGAGAGTCTCCAACCAGGTAAAGTAAACATAGAAACTCGCACACAAGTGCATCGGTTTAAGCTGCCCCTTTTCAAAGTAGTAACATAGAACAAAATGTATAGAAAGAAGTCATATCAAAGTAAATAGAGTTGTGCGAAAGAATGAGCAATTTAAACATGACGGGTAGTGCAAGTATTTAGAAGACGTCAAGGAGTGAATATATCTGCGTCACTCCGACCTCTTTTCAGCCATGTCACCAAGAGTCCTCAACCACTGATTCCTTTCGTCTAGCCAACTTCAACCAGGCAGTTAGCATCGCTCTATACAACTCAAACCATCAGTCACAAATTTCATAGAATGGTGCCATACACTGGTCTGGCCACTCTGAGCAAACCTCCAACCTAACACACCTTCTCTTCTAGCATGGGATGTCAACGTAGGCTGTGACTCAGCATTCACAGTACATGTCCAAGCCATCTAAGTCAACTAGGGTTTACAACCTAATCAATCGAATCACCTACATTACTCAGTACCCTTCACTTGACTTCAACATTGCTCACACGGTGATTCCACTTAACAAGGACAATGCTACGAAGACATATGTGATCAAAACCCTATAATCCATTCCTATCTACTTTCAACCGTCATGTCTCACAGCCATATAACAGGACACAACAAACTGCACAGCAGTATACACGTCCTTTGACATATAATCCAATATCCAAACAGTCAGCGTCAGAGACGACGCAAGCTGGAAGATGCCAAGCCAACCTTCTGTATCCCAACTGAGATTTCGTCACTAACCATCCCGTTAGGGCTGATGCAACTCATGAAGTGAACGAAGTGGTAGATACATTTCACCACCCCACCTCCTGTTATTAAACTGGGAGTAGATGCAAACGAGTCTTGGAGCATCATCTTACATGTGACAGATGCGAGGTGTATGCCAAGCATACTCAGATTTCTGCTCAATGAGTTCAAAAAACCCTGTAATGCGTCAGCATCTTCACCCAGCCTAAAAGAATGGTATCGTCTGCATACTCCGCGTCAACCAGATGATCGCCAGGGGTAGATCAATCTCTGTGAAGTCAGACGTACATAATGTTGTCTGTTAGCACGTCTATGACGGAGTTGAATGGGAACGGTGAAAATGGGAATCCCTGGCGAACACTACTAGTTGTCGTCGATTCTGCTCACAGCATGGAAGGCAATTTGTTCCTATGGTACCTGAAAGAAAGATTTGTGTGATCATAGAGCTCATAAAATATCTCCTTGA